CCGATCCGCATCTCGGTGTTCACCGAGGACTTCGACAACAGCTTCCGCTACTGCACACAGTCGGGAGAGATTAGGTCTGACTTCAAAGGTTCCATGATGCAATGCAATCCCGATGACATTCTCACCGATGAAAAGAAGCAACTGCTGCGTGAGGTGATAATCCCCAAGGCGGTGCAGATGCACAAGGACCGGCTGCTGGTGCAACCGCTCAGAGACAACATTCGTGTAAAACACTTCACGGGAAACATCTGCCCTCAGTTTGCTGTCCCCCGGTCCCACCACACCACCGGTGTGCCGGATACCGACTTCGTGTTGTACGTTGCGGCAGGACCAACTGTACCTGGTAATCTCGCATGGGCAATCACATGCCAGTTTGACCGCAGCGGCCGGCCCTTGGTGGGTGTTGCCAATATTGGATTTCTAGACACTATGAACGTTTTCTCTTCCACACGTACCCTGGCTCACGAGATACTACACGCCTTGGGATTCATAAATCGTATATTTCAAAATAGAAATATGATTGATATTGTGTCTGTTCGTAATAAACCACCAAGTTACGTTCTATCTTCGCCAAAAGTTGTGGAAGTCGCGAGGGCTCATTATGGGTGCAGTACCATGCAGTACATGGAGTTAGAAGACTCGGGTGGCGGTGTGTCTGCTGGGTCACACTGGAAGATGCGCAACGCAAAGGACGACTTGATGTCTCCTACCGATTCTGCAAGTTTCTACACCGCCATCACCATCGCAGCGATGGAGGACACGGGCTACTACAAGGGCAACTACAGCAATGCTGAAGACATGTCATGGGGTAAAAATGCCGGCTGCGTGTTGTTTGATGAGAAGTGCGTTATTGACGGTGTGTCGCAGATGCCGGAGATGTTTTGTGACAGTAAAACTGCTTCAAACAGTGAGTTCAAGTGTTCATCAGACCGGATGGGCATTGGAGATTGCATGATAATACATCATTCAAGCTTGGCACCATGTTTGCAGTACTTCCCCGATCCGACAATGGGTGGCACAGAAGCCTCGATGGATTACTGTCCGATCATAAAAGCATATCAAGACACAATGTGCTTTAATGGGAATGAAAGAACGTTGGCCGGCTCTGTGTTTTCAAATTCAGCGCGATGTTTTTCAGCTGTCCCGAGGACTCCCCTCAAAATAAGCGATGACCAAAATATGCTCGCTATCTGTGCGGATATGCAGTGTGACAAGCACACTTCGAGATACCGAGTGCGAGTGAAGGGTACTAGTGATTTCGTGGACTGCCCACCCGGAAGCACTCTTGTGCTTTCGGAGTACAGTGCAGAATTCAAGTCTGGCGCGATCGAGTGTGCACCATACGAGGAGGTGTGCCCTGAATCCTTTTACCCCGACGATGACCGCGACAATAACAACGACAAAAACATCCGCGCCTCATCCGGTACGAGTAAAGGCGCGTACTGGTTAGTATTCACGTTTGTAGCGGTCTTAACTGTTATAACTGTCCTTTTGATATATTTCTTGAGGAAACATGTGCGAAGAGAGTGATCTGCAAAAAAAATGCACCAGACAAGGATGTATAACGGTAAAATTAAGGCAGGTGCGCTATAAGGCGACTCCTATCATTTTTTTCATTGGAATTGTTTTCCTTCTTTTTCATTTCATTAAGCATACAAATCTAGTGAAATTATTTATAAAAAACGGTATGCGAGTGTTGTTATTTTACTTTATCTTTTTTTTTCTTGGCATCTGTACATCGGTACACATTTAATTGATTTCCCAGTACAAATAAACATTTTAAATTTTCCTCTTTATTTTAGATTCAGTGTTGTAGTAATTTAAAATTGGATCCATACTCTGAGTAGTATGCTTTAATGATAGTTTTTCCCATGCGCCCCCTGTGTTCTGTTATAGCGTGCAGCCACTCTCCACTTTGAGATCACACGCCTAGCGCTTCGCTGGGCCGCAGGGGGATTTTTTTTTGTTTCTAATGTAATCGCGGAGTACTGCTAGTCAGAGAGACTAAATCCTACTTTTTGCGAAATAAATCTAGTGAAATTATTTTAAAAAAACGGTATGCGAGTGTTGCCATTCTATTTTATCTTTTTTTTTTTTGTGTGTGTGTGGGGGGGGGGTTTAGCATCTGTACATCGGTACACATTTAATTGATTTCTTAGTCTTTATAAACATTTTAAATCTTCCTCTTTGTTTTAGATTCAGTGTTGTAGTAATTTTATATTCAATCCATACTCTGAGATGTATCTTTTAATGATAGTTTTTTCCATGCACTCCCTGCTTTCCGTTGTAGCGTGCAGCCACTCTCCATCTGGCGATCACACGCCGGGCGCTTCGCTGGGCCGCAGGCTTGTTTTTCTTCGGTTTGATATAGTCGCGAGGTACTACTAACTCCTACTTTTCTCGAAATAAATTGAGTGAAATTATTTTAAAAAATGGTACATGAGTGTTGTTATCCTATCTTATCTTTTTTTTATCCATCTCTTCGTAAAAATCCTCTGGCGCACTAATAATTCTTGTCCAGATCTTCTCTCACTGTAGCG